GGAGGTTTCATCCAGCAATTGATGAAAACTGATGCAGACCCACAGCCAAACACTAGGTGGAACTCTGGCCATTCTGGAAAAGAGGGGGAGAAAGGATAGTAGGAGACAGAGGGGTCAAGGACACCTTAGAAAACCCACAGAATCAACCAACCTGAGCTCAGAGAGGCTCACAGAGATTGAACCAATAACCAGGGAGCCTGCATGGCACTGATCTAGGCACTCTACATATATGTTACAGTTCTGGGGCTTGGTCCTTTTGTGGGACTCCTAACAGTGGGAGTAGGGGCTGTTTCTGACTCTTTTACAGGCTTTTGGGATACTAAACCTCATGCTGGGTCATCTTGATCAACCTTAATACATGGGGGGATGCTTAGTCTTACTGCGTCTTGATATGCTACATTTTATTGATATCCAGGAGAGACCTGTCCTTTCCCGAACACAAATGGAGGAGGAGTGGATTAGAGATTGAGAACAGAGGGGGTTGGAAGAGAAATAAAGAGGAGAGGAGGGAGGGAAAACTGTGGCCTAGATGTAAAACAAATAAATGAAATAAAGTACTTTGTCTTGGATAAAGCTACCTAAGTGAGCCCAACTATACTGAAGTTTCATAATAATAATGCTTTCTGTTTGGTTGTCTTCTTAAATACCTGAACAATTATTAGACTAATGTGCATTGGAATCTCTAGAGACATAGTTTATAGCAGTCTTTGAAAGAATATTTTTAAACATATTTGCGGGGTGGGGGTGTCCGGGGAAGACAATTGGATAGCATAAAATGTGGAATAACCTTGGGAAATGTTGATGTGAATCTCAAAATCTCATGAGAATTTTCATCCTCTGTTGACACTTTCATTGAGGCAATAAGATCAGGAAAACCCCCAAATAGTATGATTCATTTTGCGGCAATGTGAGCAATAAGTAGGAAATGATTTAATACATAAGTAACTACAATGAGATAAGGGGACCCTACACTCCAGTCAATATGAAGTAAATTAGATAATGAAATCATTTATAAGAGGTCCTTCACAGTGAGAAAAAGAAGCCAAGAATTGTGGTTTAGAGTCAGATGCATTCAGAGAACACAATAGTGCCTTTGCTCAGATCAGCGCTATGGTAGGACAGCTAAATATGAACACTCAGATCTCTTTGTCCAAGTACAACTGTGCCTGCATTCTTTTAAGGTACTGTTCTCATATTTCAAGTAAATGTCTGTATTTTGAAGATTTTTGACAAACTGATACTGGATTCAAATAGATGAAAGTAACTAATATTGGATAAATTTAAATATAACAATGCCTGCTATGTCTATTGTGATATATTTTGTTTCTTTTTTTAAGCTTCAACATATTTTTATTCATCTTTTTTATATTTTTACTTAAGGAAAAGAAGATGAAGCAGACCATGGAATAACTTGACAATTGAAAATTCTTTTTATTTTTATATTAATTTGACACTCAAAATTGCTAATACAATTAAATGAAGTTTCATTCATGGGTTCAATTCCTAGTGTAAACTTTTTGTGTATCCAGGATTAATAAGTGCATGTAATTGTTGAAGTTGGACAAAAGTATGATCTTAAGTGTTGAATTTCTAATGTTTGTGTATTAGCTGCATGGATTCTTATCATTGCTGTCATGAGATGATTTGTGTAAATTCGGGAACATTGTAAGAGATATCATCACAGTTATATGAATATGAAAGAAATATTCTACAAAATAACATATCCTTTCTCTTGTTTTTATTGACATCATAGGTACACAACAACAACAGACTCTGCTCCTTATTCTGAAGGATGATGTGAGTGAGCCCCCACCCTGCCCCTCCTCAGGATACTTCCTCTTCTTGGAGTTTCTCCTTAAGCTTACACCTATCACAAAATCTAGATTAATTTTCTTTGAAACAACTCTTGATAGTATTGGAAAGTAGCTTAATTTAACCTAGAATAAGTATCTTTAGTATTTATATTAATATTAAAATATTTTATTAGTTAATATAATGCATATTTTGAAGACAGTGAATGATCACTTTGAAAGCTTAAGACAGAAAGTATTGTCAGATAGTGTTCTGACAATCATGAAAATTTAACTTTTTTATGCGTTTGATGGTGAAGATTCCCTAGTTTTCTCTAGAGATATCATTACTTTTAATTCTTATCTTTAGTATGCTAGCTGTGCAAAAACCAAGCAAATTTGTTTCTTTTTTGGAAGAGTTAAATTTTATTTTTTAAAATAAAATATAAAAAAATATGAAAAAAAACTAACACACTGGAATTGGACAAAACAAACAGAAAGAAAAAAAGCACAAGAGAAAACACAAGAAACAGAGACCACTTGATTGAATACTCAGGAATCTCGTCAAAACACCAAAGTGGAAGCCATAATATGTATGCAGACCCATGCAGGCCATGTGCTAGCTGCTTTAGTCTCTGAGTTCTTATGAGATTTGCTCATGTTGATTTAGAAGACCTTGTTCTCCTGATGTCCTCCCTCCACTCTGGCTCTTACAATCTTACTGTCTCCTCTTCTTCGAGGTTCTGCTCTCTCTGTCAGGGGTGATTTGATGGAGATTATCACATGTAGGGCTGAGCGTCCCAAGGTATCTCATTGCATAATGTATGACTGTGAGTCTCTGTGTTTGTTCCCATCTGCAGCATGAAGAGTCTTCCCTGATGATGGTTGAACAAGGTACTGATCTGCTTCCCTGGCCTGAGCCACTATTTTGTTACTTAACACCCTTTCCAAATATACATAGTAATATTGCTAATAATACACTCTCTCCCTGGGATCCACCCGACTCAGAGCCTTATACATACTCTGAAGGACTTACTGCAACACTGAGAATGTTCTCAGCTCCTGTATCTCTTTACCTGAAGCATATCCAGGAATTTTATGTCTTATTTTAGGGAATCACATGCTTCCTAAAACTTGTGTTAAGGTACTCATGATGTATTATACTTTTGAAACTCAGCTCCTGCTTTGCAGACCACACGGATCCCAAAGACTGAGGTTTTCAATCTTTGAAAGGCAAATATAGCATCCACTCACTCTTAAGTGGATACTAGCTTAAAGTAAAGTATAATTTTGCTACAATTCACAGACACAAAGAGATCAGGTAATAAGGAAGGTTCGTGGAGGGTTGCTTGGATCTCCCTGGAAAGAGGAATAAAAGAGACTTTTATGGATGGAATAAGGGTGGGTGGAGATGGGAACATGAGTGATAATGTGGAGAGGGGACACCTGGAAAGGGGTGGCATTTCAGGGACATGTAAAAGCCTGATGCAAGGGAACTTTCCAGAAAGCCACTAGAATGACCCCAGCTAAGACTTCTGGCAATAGCATTTAATAGCTTTAATTTGCCATCTGTTATAACCAGATTGGTGCCTAGCTCAACTGTCATCAATGTGTCTTCCAGCCACAGATGGAAAAAGATGCAGATCCACAGCCAAACATTAGGCTGTGTTCAGGGAATCCCGCAGAAGGGAGGGAGAAAGAATTGTAGGAGACAGAGGGGTCATGGACACCTAAGAAAATCCACACACTCAACTGACACGAGCTGATAGGGGGTCACAGAGACTGAACTGATAACCAGGGAGCCCACATGAGATTAACACTCTAGCCTAGGCACTCTGCATGCATGTTACAGTTGTGTGGCTTGGCCTTCCTTTGGGATTCCTAACAGTGGGAGCAGGGGCAGTCTCTGACTTTTTTCTGGCTGTTGAGACCCTACTCCTCATACTGGGTCACCTTGTCCAACCTTAATATATGGGGGAGTGCTTAGTCTTACTGCAACTTGTTATGCTGTATTTTATTGATATCCAGGAGGGATCTGTCTTTTCCTGAACAGTAAAGGATGAGGAGTGGACTGGGAGTTGGGAACAGAGGCAGTTGCAGAAAAGAGTGAGAATTAAGGGGAAGGGAAACTGTGGCCTGGATGCAAAATAAATATTTTTTCAAAAAAGAACTAATAATAGGTGGATAAAAATTTTCATACAGAACAGTTCCTCTCACCCAACAATTTAGAGTCACTAACATTTTTCTTTTTCAAGCCCATGATCCATCTCTAAAGATCTTTATCTCACTAGATTTCCAGAAAGATATGTCTTGATACCCCTGTCTCTAAATCCGTATTTCTATGTTTGCATTTTTGGTGTTTTGCTACACTAATATTAATTTATTTTTATTGCACTGTTAATATTATAACCCCAGAAAACAACCACTATAGTTTACTATTAATACTAGTTTTACAAGACTATTCCCACTGACTTGGTATTGGAGTACAAAGTACACAGAATATAGGATAACAACAGAAATTAAAGCAATTGAAATATTAATAAGACTGTAAAGGAAAGCATTGCCTAGACTTCATTTAAACTTATGATAAAGAACACAGTCATGGAAGCAGTGATAGGGTTGATATCCTTCAACCTGATTAGTTGAGGTAATTGATGATAGTCTTATATGAGATAATGAAGATGGCATGTGAATGTGCTTGTTCCTGTGTTTGCATGCGTGTACATGCATGCGTGTTGGGGCGGGGCTGGGACAGGGAGGGGGGAGATAAAAATACACACTGCTGTGCTTCAGGGGAATTTGGATTTGTATGCAAACTTTTTAAAATTTTGCTCAAGTAAACCTCTTTAATTGAGAGAAAGGTAATACCATATCAAATTTAAGAGATATAAGAAAGCAAGAAAAAATTATTTTCAGTTCCTTTAATTTCTCCTTATGCATTCACATAAAAGAGATGAATGAATAGCACCAGTATATAAGTTATTCACAAGTAGAATTATAAGTTAATATCTTTGTTTTCTGTCCAGATGCCATGAAGCTATAAGCTACTATTTTCCTGGCACAGCTCTCTTTAGATCATTGATGAGTACTGTGTTGCTGTCTGAACCCTTGTCTTCTCAACGACAAGGGTACTTCAGCCTGACTTATCACTAGCATACTTCTGGAGTGATAACCTCCCTCCATGCATCTCTCTCTTGTCCACTTAGACCAGCTAACAGCCAGAGGACCACAATGAAGAACCACACAAAGGTGACAGTTTTCATCCTAGCAGGTTTGACTGATGACCCGCTGTGGAAAGTTGTCTTATTCATCTTCCTGTTTCTTACCTATCTGCTCAGCATCACTGGCAATCTGACCATCATCACACTCACCCTGGTGGATGCTCACCTGAAGACCCCCATGTATTTTTTCCTACGAAACTTTTCCTTCTTAGAGATTTCCTACACTAGTGCATGCATCCCCAAATTGTTTGCTACTATGGCAACTGGGAACAAAGCCATATCTTATGGTAATTGTTTAACTCAACTGTTTTTTGCTTTCCTATTTGGAGCATCAGAATTTTACTTGCTGGCAGCCATGTCCTATGACCGCTATGTGGCCATCTGCAAGCCCCTGCACTATATGACCATCATGAACAATAAAGTCTGTATGCAGTTGGTCCTCAGTTGTTGGATTGCTGGCTTCCTTGTCATCTTTCCACCACTCCTGTTAGGCTTGAATCTTGACTTCTGTGCTTCCAACATTATTGATCATTTCTACTGTGACACCACTCCTCTCCTGCAGCTTTCCTGCACAGACACGCAGCTCCTGGAGACGATGGGCTTTGTCTCGGCTTTGGTGACACTCTTACTCACACTGGTAATGGTGTTAATTTCCTACACCTACATTGCCATGACGATTCTAAAAATTCCTTCAACCAGCCAGAGGAAGAAGGCTTTCTCTACATGTTCTTCTCACATGATTGTGATATCCCTCTCATATGGCAGCTGCATGTTCATGTATGTTAAACCTTCAGTCAAGCAGAGAGTATCTATTTCCAAGGGAATTTCCGTGCTCAACACCTCAGTGGCTCCACTTCTGAATCCTTTTATCTACACCTTGAGGAATCAGCAAGTGAAAAGGGCATTCGTTAATACAATACACAGGATTGCATCTTTCTCAAAGAAATGATTATTAAGTCATTGCCTGGGAGACCAGACCCTTGCAGCATAGGGCTGAAATGTATGTACAGAGTTGGCACCTATTATGATTTTTTTATTTGAGGGGGTTAAGTGAAAAGGACACTTCCACACTCTCTTGATTCTTCCTTCTTTATTCTTCTTATGTGTTCTGATTATGTGTTCTGTATTCTCTTTTCTTATCTCTATCCAGAAATGTCTTTGCTGCCTCTCTTGATGTTTTCCTTCTTACTCTTTTGATGTTTTTATTCTAAGTCTCTCATTGTTTTGTTTTCTTTATAACTCTTTCTAACTCTATTCTTTTCCACACAACTTATTTACCCTAGCTAAATCTTTCAGGCAATATAAAAACAAAAAAGTGATTGTAGTCTATCTTTCAAGTGAATGATTACAATCAATACAAGTAAAAACATCATGTTTTCCATATCCCTTAACATGATGAAATATTTTATGTATTAACGGGTTAAAAATAAATTATCCCACACACCCACATATATTTGTACCCAAGCAACTTGTTACAGATGTACAGTATAAGCAAGCAAGTTATTCTTTTACTGGTAGACTGAATTTTGCAGTTACACAGCAAGACAAATCACTTTATTACATACCTTGAAAGACAATCTTATCAGGAATGTTAAAGAAATCACAAATCTAAACTTTTGTATATGAAAGGCTATCAGTAAGCTCTGTTTTAAATCTTTAGGGTGTACAAATGCTCATCAATAGTTTTTTTTATATATATCAGGGTATTGAGGGAAGAAATGGGTATAAGGGATTATTCATCATCCTTGATCAACAATCAGTCTTCGAAGGAAAGTATGTCAGTTAGTAATAGTTGTGCTGCTTTGTTTATTTGATTTTTTTACCTCAAAGCTATTGTCAAAACATTTCAATCGAACCTGAGGTCATTCAGGAGAAAAATCCCTGCCAGACAAATGAACTTCAATTCCCACCTGTTGCTCCTCTGACACAGCCACCAACACTATACTATTTCATTCTATGAAGGAAATTGCATGTATTTTACCTTTCTTTCTTTCCTTTCTTTATTTCTTTCTTTTTCTTTCTTTCTTTCTTTCTTTCTTTCTTTCTTTCTTTCTTTCTCTCTCTCTCTCTCTCTCTCTCTCTCTCTCTCTCTCTCTCTTTCTTTCTTTCTTTCTCTTTTTGGACTCTCAAGACAGGGTTTCTCTGTGACTTTGGAGCCTGTCCTGGAACTAGCTCTTGTAGACCAGGCTAGACTCGAACTCACAGAGATCCGCCTGCCTCTGCCTCCCAAGTGCTAGGATTAAAGGCATGCACCACCACATCCCAGCCTTACCAATTTTTAATATGGTATTTTACTTAGAAAAACTAAGAGAGCATTACACCAGTTTTTATCCATCACGTTTGATACTCAGGGAAAAGACAAAAGGATTCAGAATATCTAAAACTTTCCATGGAAAGTCGTCATTTATTTTCTTCATAGTTGAAGTTGTGTTTATCTTTTACAAGTAGAGTTTTTCATTTTAAGAGGAAATATGTTAATTACACTTGTTTATCTCGAAACAGCAATGAAATGCAATATATTGTTTGTATTCTGAAACCGTCTAAAGTCTCTTTGCTTGATGTAGGATACTCTTTAAGTTAACTGGAAAGTATTTTTGAATGATTACTGAATACAAACAATACTTAGGCAGCTATTGGTTTGTCGAGGGTGCAGCTTATATTTCTGGAAGGTATAATCTCATAGCAAACTCCCAATTTCTCTTGTTCTTAAAATCTTTTTTGCCTTCTCTTCTGTAACAAATCTTGAGTCTCTGGTGCATTAGTTCTGCTATAAATGTATCCACTGGAAGTGGGCTCCACAGCTCCCCACTTTCACCCACTATAATGGTACTTTCTTATTGAAAAGATAAATTTCCTTAATAAAGAATGAGACTACACCTACCTGTGGTTATAAAGACAGATATTTAGAAGTCTTCCCAACATGACTACCTGAACATGACCTGAATAAGAGAAACACCAGGATGTATGCTCAGATCTAAAGGGGAAAGTGCAGGATGCTTCAACACTAAACAAAGAACTACAGGCAACTAAGAAATGCTGAGATCTGTAGAAATAGTCTTCCACAAAAACGCACACCAATTGGTTAGCAAATCCCGAGTGACCAACACTGAAACAAAATACATTTTGTGTGTGTGTGTGTGTGTGTGTGTGTGTAAATGAGAAGGGTATATTTATTACTTTATAGGAATATATGTATGTGTATATAATATGTATGTGTCTATATGTATTTGTACATATGTATATGAATATATAAAGAACTAGAGGCCATAGCTTTGAAAGAGAGTAAGGGAGGTATATGGGAAGATATGTATGGAAAGGGGAAATGATGATATAGTTTTTTTAAAAAAATTAAATGTAGAAACAAAAAAAGGCTTGTTGCTGACTTTTGGGAGGACAGTCCCCAGAAGTCAACACCAGGGTATGTGAGAAAATCCACGAATGCCGTGGGGGCTAGATTTTTCTATCTGAGGGGTAAATAAGGAGACACACTGTTTCTGCTGATAATGTAAGAAAAAAGGAATAAGCACACACTTTCCTGATGGTAATATTCTCCTTTACTTTAACTTAGTGTCTTTCTTGGCAGTCTCTCATCACATACAAACATTTCTGTCACACCAAGATACATATTTTAATACTCAATTTCACATGACTACACATCTTCCCTTTACACACATTTCTCCTCCACATCTCTCATCTACACAGCTTCATTTTCCTCGCCTCCACAGTTACAAATCTCCACACAGTCACAGCTCTGCATCTCTTTTACATATCCTCTCAGCCTGCAGCACTTGAGACCACTCCTAGATGCAGCTACTCTAAGTAGCAGCGGCTCCTACACACAGCTCTCTCTCACACACACAAACTCACACACACACTTCTCCATCACTCATTCATTCTCAAATCACCTCACTCATTCATCCTCTACTCACCTCACTCATTCATCCTCTCATATTCTCTCATGCTTCTGCTTCTACTCACTTTTCTATCTCCCACACCAGCCTTCTCTCAACACTGCTGCTTCTCCCTTGTCACAGACAAACTCTAGACAATTATATGCTGTTTTTCAGGGCACTACCCAAACTCTAAACATAATTTAAGCCACATAGTTTCTCTCGGGCTAGGAATGTCACAATGATTCATGCACGTAGCGCTATGTTGTGAAGGTACTCAGATAGAAAATGACATTGGAAATCAAGACTTAACAATAACAAGTAGTTAGCTGGACCTTGAATCTGAGACTGGGTCTACATGCAGACTAAAGTTGTTTCAAGTTTTGGCATTGAATCAACAAAACTACATCTGGAGAATGACCTTCTATATTATTTCTAGGTCCAACCAGCCTGCTTTGAATCTGCTGAGGTCTTGGCTAAATGTGTAAAAGACTGTTTTGGTAGCTGGGAAATCTATGTCAGTCTGAGTTATGAAGAATATCCTAGTGTTTCTATTAATCAATATTACATAACTTAAGCAGAATCATCCCTGTAGATCATCCACAGTTATATGTGTGCCCAACAGATAGAATATATACATGCGATAACACACAAGCTGTAGGAATATAAGCAAAGCTGTTATTACGGAAGAAATGAAGTTCTTAGTGGAGAAATGAAGAGACTCATGAGAGAAATTACAGTCAGGAGAGTGGTCCCATGGCTGTGCTAGATGGAGCTCCCCACCTGGGAATCATGCATCTGATGGGTCTACCTGCTAAACACTAATTGTCACCTGCTGTATACTCTCACAGCAGCTCTCTACAAATGTCAACTCAACGCATTTATTATACAACGCATACATTATAATGAAAATAGAATTGTAACATTCACGCCTTTCCCTTTCTTCCCTCCAAACCCTCCCATTTCTCTTCCCACTCTCAAGTTCATAGTCTCTTTTTATTTTATTGTTATTGTACATAAATAGATATATGATATGTGAACAAGTACATAACAACAACCCGCCAAAAATTATTTATCTATTGTGTATATCTGAACTATGTATAATGTACATTTACAGAATGGCACATAGAAACATCCATGTATGTTGATAAACATTCCTCCAATGAAACCAAGGCATTTTAAGAATTAAATCTCCTTTTTACCAAGAATTTTAGTTGTAGGTAAAATGCTATTGAAGACTTGAAATTCAATTCTGTATCCTAATCAGAATGTTTTAAAGTTAAGAATAATAAGCAGTATTTTCAAGGCTATTTCATTTTATTAACTCTTTTAGAAATATATTTGGCTTCTGGACATTTTTCTATATGTTATTTTTAAATCTATGACTCTTTCATGCAGTAAAATATTTTCAATTTGAGAAAACGTGAAATATTTATATATTTTACACGCATTATATATATCCAGATTTGTAGCAATCAAAACACCAACGTCTTAAGAATAACACCAAATCTCTCAAGAGAATGTTTCATTGTCATGTATTAGTGACGATCCATTTAGTTAACATACATTCTTCCAACTAAAGAGCTTTGTTAGCTATTATAGAGTTATTCAACTGAAATAGGTTTTGGCAGCATAAGCCTTTACTATGCCCCCTATGCACACAGATCAAATACCACTTTTCTTAAAAGTGTTGTCTTTCCAAACTAGTCAGCTAACCTTTTATAGTACTCTACCCTCAAGTTTTACATTTCACCACTGTTCCACCATCCCAGAACAGTCATGCTGAATTTACATGTTAGTTCACAAAATTAATAATTTTAAATCTGTTTTTTTTGCAAAAATGAATTCTAGTAGATAATTCCCATTGTAATTATGTAAAACACATCTATTTAGTTCACTCGTCATATTGATCTTCTAGAACAAGAGTATCTAGGTTTGAAGGGGTTATGTTTTGCTATAAAAAATACAATGTCATAATACTGATGCTTTTTCTAGAGATATGCCACTTGGTTAGAATGCTGACACAACTGCCATCCCTGCACCTGAGATGCTAAGGCACATTTACCTCACAAGGCTGAGGTGAGGCATTATAGGAAGATCCTATCTGCAAATAAAAAAAAAATTATTTCTTTTAGAATTAAAAGGTAAGATAAGATTTTTCTTGGTATAAAATTTTATCTGTAAACATCTCAATGGAAATATAGCGTCAATATTTTTTGCTATATAAAATACTAACTCTGCAATGTCTTAAATTTTATATTCTATTTATTTGTGGCGTGTGTGTGTGTGTGTGTGTGTGTGTGTGTGTTCAACAGTGTCCAACAATAAAGACCAGGGTATGACCTATGGCAGTTGGTTTCCTCCTTCTACTACAAGGTTCTTAAGGGTCAAACTCTGGTTGTCGGGCTTTGCAGCAATTACCTGCATTCACTGAGCCATCTATAGCCTGCAAAACAATCACTTTAAAGTTATCTCCTGTTAACATTAGCCCACGCTTAGGCTCATTAGGAAGTGTATATCAATTCAAGGAAATAAGGAATCTGAAGTCTTTTTAAAACTATCTGTTTCATTTTATATTTTGTAGAGATGTATATGCTTGTATATGGACATTTATCTGCAAATAATTTAATACCTTTAACATTTTAATAGGTCAAATAACAATTCTATTATATTTTAAATTTCTGTGACATTATTGCATATTTTATTTATTTATTGAGGAGGTTTCCATGCAGTCAGATGTATAGAGACCAGAGTCTAACACCAGGATGTCTGTCCTTGATGACTTGACCTAAACTTTGAGATATAATCTCTTATTGAACCTGTTTTTGCTTGTCCAGCTGACAAGTGAGTTAGATCATAGAAACAGCATCCCTAGGGTACAGACACAGTATATTCAGATTTTACATGTGTTTGGGGACTCCAAACTCATGTTCTGAGGTTTAAACAACAAGCACTTTACCCAATGTGCCAACTCCAGTCCCCAAAGTGATTATTTTTAATGTAATGAACATTATGGTACTTTATATCATTATGTTTGAAAAAATGAAATTTTTGGAGGGAAATCGTGCTATGATAGT